AAGAGCTTCTAAATAAGGTATTAGATGATCATCAAGAGTTTCAATATAATCTTTTGATGTTTGTCGACCATTAATTCATACTAATGGACCTAAACCAGCTGAACTAAAACACCCCAAACTATAACTCCTTTTTGGCCAGATTTAAAGGTTGACATAAGACAGTTTACATCGTACTTTTCCTTTGGCAGTCTCCAAATATTATGACGACTATTACCTCTAAACACTTCAAAGCGAGATTCATCACTCCATATAATATAATCCCATTTAGGATCCCAATCTACTTTTTCTTTTGTCCATTCTAATCGTTTTTTACGATTTTTTTCATTAACAAAAGGCTTTTTTTTACTAATACAAGAAAAAAAGCCTTTTTCATGAAGGCAACATCGTAAAGTATGTGTAGAAACTTTAGTTGATGTAGCTTGTGTAAATTTTTTATTTAATACATTTAAAGGAACTTTTTGGTCTTCTTTAATAACATGAATTAAATGACGTTTATCACGTTCAGTTAAAATAGGTTTTCTGCCACTTTGTGGAGGTGGTTTTACTTTGCTAGTATTTTTATAATATTTTATCACATCTTTAATAGTAGTACTAGCAAAATTTAATTTTTCTTTAATAACAGAAACAGGCACATCACATTTCCAAGCACCAATTATCTGGTTGCGTTCTCCTTCAGATAATTCTTTCCTTTTTGACATTATAAATTTAAATAAATAAATTAGGTATAGTTGCTGCAATTACTGTGGTTGCTACAGTTTGCTGCAGCAAATTTATTTATTTATATTTATATGTTTATATTTATTTGATAATCATTTCTTAATTTAGTTTTTTTACTGCATTATGATGATTACATCTCAATTTAGTATTAACTGCATTGCAACGATCTCTGTAAGCATTTATTCAATAAATCAAAAAATTTAGTATAATATATATTTTTTTATGCTAAACAAGTTTACTTATTTACTAAGACTCGATTAACACTAAAAAATTAAAAGTTTAATTATTAGCGAAAAATTTGATAAAAATTACAAATTTTACAAATAAATTTTGTAATATAAAATTCAATAAAAGTCCAAATTTATATACGATTATCAAGAAAGATACAATTCATTACGATGTACAAGTTTACTTATAATACCAAAGTCAATTTAATTAATAAAAAAAAATTTTTTCTTATGACGCTAATGTATGTATTATTATTCTGATTTTGATAAAGTCGGTCATTTTTGCTAGGTGAGTGTACATTAGCACAAAACGAAGAAATTGAAGAGGTGAGTTCAATATATTATAACTAACTTTCTGATCCTTCTCTTCTACTAATTAATATGACCTGGTTTATATAGTACAAGTATCAAACTTCATTAAATACTCATGTGAGAGAGAAAAAGAAATTATATTCCAGCCAGCAATTAGAATCACGGAAACGAAATTGCGTAAGTGTTGGTTACATTTTTTTCTCGTATTTATAGCAAATTGGTAATTTTTTCCTCTTAATTTAGGGTTCAGCTTTTCCAAAAAACAAAGAAATCGAATCTGATTATGAACCACATAAGAGGCAGTGCACGTAAGCTTCATTACATTCATCATTCGCTATTGATGTCTGTTATTAACATTATCATTTATGTGGCTTAAGCGAACCAATTGCGGATGCTGTAAACAATCCGTTTTTTGAATCAGAGAATAATTTGGACAAAGAGGAGGTATGTCAATTATTAAAATAAATATCATAAGAGTTTAATAGTCACTAATACACAAATAATTTAGCATGATTCTTTTTTAGACCGAGTCTGAGAATTCTTCTCTAGTTTAACAACTACAAACTAAAGACAAATCACAACGGGATAATAATGATGTATCATATGACGAAGAATCCCCAAATTTGTATGATGTAGATTTCTATTCTACTTCAGATGACGAATTACCTGAGGTAATTTATATTTTGCTTTGTTGTGTATATAAGTAATATACTTTAATTGCTATCTGATCTTCAAGGAAGTAAAGCATTTGGACGTAAATGATGCATTAATTCGGGATATCTTTCTTGAAGTTCTACATCAATTCCAATCCAATGATCTTGAATCAGGAAAAACAATAATGAGTTCAAATTTTTTAAATGGAATAATCGATATAATTGATTCTAAAGTGAAGGAAAGTGTACGATCAAAGTTGAATGAAGAACAGCAAACATGGTTTAACGAGATGCTAGAAAAACAAACTTGGAATATAACACCTGAGTTTAAGGATTACTGTAATCAATTTACGGAAGATACGTGTGACCGTGTCTACGCTCCCACACTTGTATGAAAGTCCTTTGTTACAGGACGCTTTGATCCTTTCCTTCACGAAGGGCATGACATAGCACAACAGTTAATAACACATTTGTATGTAGTTATATATATTTTCTTGTTGTAAATCTATGTCTCAAAGCGTTACTAACATTAATGATGAATGTCTGGAAGCCCCAACCAATTCTGAATCAAAATCACCAAATCTCAAAAGGACATTTGCAATAGATACAACTATATACATCGTAAATAGACTCTTCAGAATGCATCAAGATGTGTTGGATCAGAATTGGTAAGTGTCAATTTTGAATTTCCAATAAGTTTGAGTTATATCTGTTAATTTTCTTTTATTTGATTCGGGATTGAAATACTCACCGCAGATACAAAAAATTACAAGATCAATGGTACTTTGATAGCTCTTAAGACAAGAAAATAGGATCATCAAAAAATAGGAATTATTGAATTTTCAAAAGATAAAAAGGCCCCCGATTCCAAAGATGTTGATGATAAGGTAAAGCTTAGCTGTAATACTATGCAAATTTTAAACAAACTACTTGAAACAATTTCTTGTAAAAGAGCTTGTGCGTATACAATTCAGTGTGTGAGTAAGTATCACGGTATAATAGAAAATTCTTGGCTTCACATATTTTTTTTTGGCTTACATAATTTTTCTCTAAGATGAACGAATCCACATAAGATATATGGTTCGACCCCTTCCATCGGTTTACCTCTATGATGAATTTGTGAACTTAAAGCTTCCTAATAAATTTAACGATATGGAACAATTCACCTTGGACATAAAAATCCTCATGGATTTCCAGGTAACAAATTGATGAATATTTATAGAGCCTTAATAGGATACTGATGATGCTTGGTTTTATTTATACAGAAAGATGTTTTAAAGATAGTCAAGTCAGTGAACAAGCCTATAAATGAGATTGTATACAAATTCGAAGTTGAAATCAGTTCACAGAAGGAAAAAAAGGCTAAAAATAAAAAGAAAGACGCTTGATATTTTTTTCGAATACGAAACATATGACTGTATAAATAAATTTTATAACCATTAAATTGCTTTTTATTTGGATTGGTTGGTTACTTTCCTTGATTTCTAGATGGTCAATATACTTGCCAAAGTAGTGCTAATTTAGTGTCTACGACATGTATAAAGTTTAAAGTTGAATTGCCTACATCGTGCTTTTACTTCTTAATAAATGCAACAAAATCACTTTCACGTGATATTTTGTCCAGAGTTATGGCATTAACCGTGAGTTAAGGCATTATGTATGTGATGAATAGTGACGTGACAAATATGATTTTACACACCGAAAAAATTCTAAGCCCCTGGAATACTTAGTAAAAAATGAAAAGTGGAGGGTGTAACGCAGGGTGACAAATATTTTTTATATGATTACATGAATGATTTTTGTTAGAAGATAAGAATTATTCATGCTATCACGTAACTACTGCGCAATTAGTGGACACATGTAAATAATAATAAAGTTTTGCTACTTACAACTTCTATAGTTTCTTCTATTATAGATTATTTTCAGGAATGGATACTTTCTTCACCTTTCTTATCATCCTTTTTATCAAATTCAAGCCTAAATCCCATATTGCCTTCAATCCTTTACTACAAAATTAAAAAATTTTTAATATTATTTATATAATATATATAATATTACTTAAATCTTTTAATACTTACCATTGTTACCGTGGAATTTTTCAACTTGAGGTGGTCACATTATTAAGTCTCTACTCAAAATTTCTAACTGCGGCTTACTGCGGTCAAGATGTTAAGATCTGCCTAACTCTTAATTTTACCAAATTTACACGTTAAACTTAAACAAATCTATCAAGTATGGAGACTTGAAAGATGAGATTAAGAATAATTTTAATTAAAGAATTCAGATGACAAACTCAATTACAAATAATGTGTAGGGATTATATCAGATTATATAAAGACATAAAAAGGTAGAAAGATATAAGTTTTGAATTGATTCCTTTATTAATATTGAAATTCGTATTCACAAAAGAGTTAGTTTACAACATAAGCAAAAAGTCTATCTATTTATACAAAATTTCTTTTGTCATAGCTAACTAATTACTATGCTATAGACTAACTAATTTAGCAAAATAAAATATAAGTAAAATATATATATTACAAATACGTAAAATAATAAAAATACAATAAAATTTAGAATATTAAAAATACATATAATGCTAAATATTCTTAGACTCCTTTTAATTAGTAAAATTAGGGTTATTGTCAGTATTTGAAAGATCTTCAGAATTACGTAGATCCTCAGTATTTTCAGAATTCTGGATTAAAAGATCATCATACTATATCATTCACGTGACTTTATTATAACTGGTCAATTGCTCTATTGACACTATGTTTCTTCAAATTGATTTTTTTATGACTAAATTATTTATTTGCAAATTTTTATTTGTCAGATTTAATATTGTTCAATATACACTAATTATATATGTAACTAGTAATTCTGGTATCATTTTACTGTTCAGAAAATTTTTGCTAAAATTTGGGATAATTTGTTATTTTTGATTTTGTTTCTTATTTTAATAAAATATTATAGCATTTCTTTACAGAAGGTAATGCTTTCTAGTGATAAATTTTAGTTGACGATATATTAGTACTTATTAAGAATAATCGAGATTCTCTATATACGCTGAATAATACTTTTCTAGTTTGAGAAGTTAACAATCTGCGAAGGCTTCTATGTTTATACATCTACTATTTAAAAAATAAATTTATTTTTTAATTTAAAATTTTAAGATGAATAAAATAAAAATGTTCTAAAATTACCTATTGATGTATATTTTTATTATAAAAAACAGCCTAGTATTTTTTACTTAAATTATTATAAAAATTCGCATAATTTTCAGCTAAATATTTCTCTGTAACCTTATGAAATTCATCTTTGATTAGATAAATGTTATCAGATAATAAGATTTTTATAATATTATTCACTATTTCTTAATAAATTAAAACATTAGTAAATAATAAAATTATAATATAAATATTTTATAAATAAAAATTTATTACTTTAGCGAAGTCTTTATCTATATCTTTTTTATTCTCTATCTTCTCTATACATTCTTTTATTCCTTTCTATCTTTCTAATAATTCATTGATTGTTACCTTTAATTCTATATTTTGTTTTATGATCTTATTCAATAATTTTATTATTTCATTTTTATTATCTATTTTGATTTTTTAATTAAAAATAATAATAATTTTAATAAAACAAAGAAGAATAAAAAATTACTATTAATATCTATTAGAAAGTTTCTCTAAGTATTTGTCAAACTCAAACTTACTCTTATTTTCTTAGACAATTTAGATAATATTATCTTAACATTATACTTTAGCTTAATATTATACTCAGATTTAAGCTTCGCATATGTCTTAGAGATTCTCAATACAGTCAATAATACAGATGCCTCTTATCTTTTATGACTTAAAATCAAATTATTAAAAATTTATATAGTTTTTTCTTTATTGTTTTAAGATATTTTAAACTAAAATTAATAATAATGAAATAAGTAAAGTTGAAAAGTGTTTATATAGAGTTTTGAATTTAGTAAAAGAATTTAAAGAATTTGTGAATATTTATGATGGAGATTGAAAATTATTTTACATATTATCAGATAATGGTTTAAGAAATTTAACTGAAAATAATTTTACTACTAATAACATTTAATCCCTTAATATTTCTTGAATTCATCTAAAATTAGTGAATTTCATTAAAGAAAATTTGTCTATATTTGTAAAAAAAACTAATTGAAATCTGATTATCTAATAATTCAAGCTCTTTATTTTAATATCATCAGAATTTATAATACTATTGATTTGAATATCAAATATCAAGCAACTTAGATTTAATTCTTTTATTACTATTTGATAAAGAATCTAAAAATCATTCATAAATTAGTAAGTCAATTTATTTAAAAAATTCTCAAAAAAATACCTAATATTCTATTTATGTATTTAAAAGAAAAATACTAAATGTATATAATAGATCATAATCTATTGAGTAATTATACAAATAGAAGAAAGATAAAAGTTTAGTATAATTTGTTATGCTTGTAATTATCTTCAATCAACTTTACTATCTCAATTAATTATTATACTTCATATAATAGATCCAATTCTACAATCTAACTTACTAAAATCATACAAATCCTTATAAAATGTGTAAAATCTTTCTATTTACAATTAGAAGATATCTCAAAATAAAACAGTAGTATATATAATGAAAAATATTTACTACTAATTGATCGTAAAATTAGAAATTTTTCTTTTTTATGAATTTTATTTAGATCAGATAAAATCTGAAACTTGTTCATTTTTTTTTAAAGTTTATTTAGAGAATTTAATGTTAAAATCCCTTTATTAATTTAGATTTATTTTACTACTATCATATAATATATAAAAATAGGTAATATATTAAATCAATTATAATATATTTTATAGGATTAAAATATGACAAATATAATAATTCAGATTATCTTATGTTACTTTACTTTACAAATCAATTTTATAAAGTATCTAAATTGCAGTGTCTTTATTTTAAAACATTTTGATAATATTGTAACAGGATTATTATATATAATTGATCTATATTATACATTGTAAATAGTTACATAAGTGATATAGTTAACATTGTTGACTTGGTAAATATATTTAATTTTGTAACACAAAATTATGCAGATCAATATGTTAAACATATTAAATATATCTAATAAGGATTAGCGATCCTGGCTTAATCTGTAAGGTGCGAGTCTCTATTGTAGGTTACACTGTGATAGTCACAGGTTCAGACCTTAGCCGAGGCATAAAACTAGATGATTTTCATAAGAATTTCATATGTAACTGAATACATGAGCGTTTAGACTAATAAACGTTAGATACTGGTCGATCGATCTATTGATTGACGTTAATTATGTCTAAATACTGAGTTTGAAGAACATGTGAATGCAAATGAAACCAGGGATTAACAGAAACTTAGTTTTCGCTAACAGGTCTGTAATGGATACTGTCTCACGTCTTCAAATTCAGGGGCCCTTACATAAGTAAGGAAGTGATTAACCAGTAATTAGTAGATTTGGGTTCACTGCAAGAGGGCGAAAGTGCCTAAGGTAATAATAAACTGCATTGCATGCCGAAGTACCTTCCAAATCGAATCATCACTAGGGTTAGAGACTGGGTTCAATTCTCAGGTAAATTTGACGCTATGGGTACAAAACTACCATTTATGTAAAGGATCTGATCCCACAGTCTTGGTAGTCATCAATAGGGTAAAATTCTATAAATTAGATTGGTAAAAATAGGGCCTGACAAGCTCTATGATTGAAGTAAGTCCTCTATCCAAAGGTGATGGTACCCAATAAGGTCTAGTGAGCTTTGTGATATGGGAATAACTTGTTACAAGGTGGTCTATACTAGATGGCAACTGTACGGGAATGTGCTTCTAAGCGGGTTGCTGTACCTTTTAATCAGGATCAAAGACTTTAAGAGGTTACTTAACGCGGGATTAAACTTGTCCTACTTAGGATATACCCTCTACTAACTCTCTAGCTAGCGCACATTAATAGTAAAAAAAAAAAAATTAAATATATCTAATATATCAAATATGTTTGATATATTAAACATATAAAATATCTAATATATCTGATGTATTTAATATATGATATATTAGAATTATATTAAAAGTATATAAAGAGGATTAAATTTATAAAAGAAACTAACTATTAATTGTTAGATGCAACTTGATCAGTTTACTTGTAAAACATACGTAACTTTTAGTTAACTATGTAATTAATTTTTTTTATTTTTTTATTATTATTTTATCTTTTATTTCTTAATTTATTTATAAACTATTTGATATAACTTATAACTTTTATGTAAACCTTTTGAGTAATATGATTAACAAAAAGAAATCTAACTAATCAAAGTGTGAATATACTTTATAATATATAAAAGAATCTAATCAACTGAGATGTGAATATACTTTATAGTATATAAAAAAATCTAATTAACTAAGGTATGTATATACTTTATAGTATATAAAAGAATCTAATTAATTGAAATATAAATATACTTTATAGTATATAATAAAACTATTAACTTATTAAGTCAATATTGAGTTACTATGTAAACTTTAAAAGAATTATTACTTAAATACTCTGTCTAACAGTCACAATTTGACAGGATTGTATGTTAACTATATTAAATTAGATTTTGTATAATAAACTAATTATCAATATTAACTATTCTAATAAAATTTTGCTAACAATTTTTATAATTTATCTTCTTTTCACATTTATAATATGATACTAAGGCCAAAATATGTTTACATATTTTTTTAGCAGCAGTATATTACATAAAATAAGAATTAAAGCTATACAAATATTCATTCCTTTAGGATATTCATGTGTTTTATTTATTATTAATCTATTCTAAAAAAATTCTAATTCATTTATAATTAGCATTAAATAGTGATTTATTTTATTTAAACTAACTTGCTTAATCTGAATAAAAGATTATGAGTCAGTAAATTTTCATATTTAAATCAGATATCATGTAATAAATTACATATAGTAGTATATATTATTCTAATATTATAAGCAGTATCATTATATAGCTAGAATCAATCAAGATTTAGCATTAATTCAAGATGAGAATTGACCACTTCATCTTGAAAAAAATTTGCCAAATCTTCTTTAGAAGATTTTTTTAATATTTGTCATACTTTATTATAATATATATCAGTTATAATGTTGTTAAAACGCTGATGATTTATCTATTGTCTTAAATTAATTTTAAAATTAGGCTAATGATATATAAAAGTGAATTGTTGTTATATTTTAGAAAATAGAAAGATTAAATTTGATTAAATTAATATTCAATTTGTTAATATGATTTTTGAGATAATATAGGTTGATTGCTAGAAAAATCAGGTTCCAGAAATTTTTTAACAAAATTAAGATTTTTATTGCATTTTAGTTTTTTGATGTTATTAGATTAAAATGTATTAAGCTCTTAATTTAAGTCAAAAATTTCTTGAAACCTAATTTTCCTAGAAACCCTTCCATATAGTCAGGGTTGGGAAATTTGTATGTACTAAGCAAATTTTGACCTTGTACTTGTACTGTACTGTACTAAATTTTATATTAATTATTATGTGTACTAACTGTACTAAACTGTACTAAGCTGTACTAACTGTACTAATTTTCCAACCCTGCATATAGTATTGCAAAATCGTGTTTTGCAAATTGATAAATTAGGAAATTCTATATGTTGACATTTTATTATAGTCATTATATTATTCTGTTAAAAATTCACTACTTCCTGTTTTTGATACAGCTTATGATATTTAGAATAAGAAACGAAATGGTAAAATCGGTTATTTAATCCAAATGCTTTTTTCGTTAAGTATATTGAATTTGGAAATTTCTAAATTCGTTAGTTTTATTAAATTCAAAATCATATTTATGAGTTTTTTTTTAATCTTTAAAATTTCATTTTAAAAAATTTAAAATCTTTAAAATATTATTATTTAAAAATTGTATAATATATATGTGAGTGTTTATAAAATAGATTAATTTATGAAGATAAAAAAATCGGATTCAAAAATTTTTTTAATAAACTATTTGCATACATATATATGTAAATAAGCAAAAGATACAAGTTTATCTTCATTATAAGATTTTTTAACGTTTTTCGTAAGAATTGTCTTTAAAAAATGTTATTATCAATTGACCAATCATGTGACAGTTACCTTATACCTTTTTTTTATGTCACCTAGAAAAATTTCAATTGTTTTTCAAAAAACGAAAACGTGTACTTTAACTGGTTAAATTACAAAATTAAAGCTTACCAATTTTGAGAAATATTAATAAAACTGAACCGTCTATTGATTGTCGTCATTTTTTTATAAAATTTAACCATGCCTTTTTGAACTTCGTTTACTTGATATGTGGTGTTAATCTACTATGAAAAGATGAATTAGTAATAAACCGTTTTGAGCAAACTTTATTTTATTTACCTAAAAGTTATTAGACTTTTTTTTTTTTTAACAACCTCTCCTTGTAAGAAACATAAGGATAAACAGATGTGAGTCATCCTCATTTTACTATTGGAAAACCTATTATTATTAAAATTATTACTAATAAACTATTCAACTATTGGATCATCCAAGTTAAAACTAAATATAAATATCTAGAAAAAATTTTTTTCTCTCTTTTTTTTTTTTTTTCGATAAAACCCGATAATTTTACAAAAAAAATTGACAAAACAATATGAAAGAAATCTCGGAGATTTATATTTATCCCGTGAAATCATGCAGAGGAATTAAAGTTAACTCATGGAAAGTAAATGAATATGGATTTAAATATGATAGGTTTTGGATGGTGGTTGATGATCAGTATAGTTTCTTAACTCAACGTGAATATCCAAATGTAAAAAATTTTTTTTTTTTTCAAGTTGATTATCTTTTCACTCTCAAATTAAAACCCTTGAATTAATTTCATAAATTTGTACTCGTTAAGCTTGCACTCGTTATACCTACCATTCAAGAAAATGATGATGATGGTGGTGAATTAATATTAGAAAACCCAAAAAATGAACAAAAATTAATATTGCCACTTTTACCAAAGTATGTAAAAAAAAAAAAAAGATGATTGCTTTTTTTTAAAAAAAAAAATGATAACCTACAAATCAATTTCAGTAAGGAAGGTTATGCCAAATGTTTAGTTAAAATACATGATGATGTTACAATGGCATTTGATTGTGGTGAAGAATCATCCAAATGGATTTCAGATTATTTAGGGGCTAAAGTTAAAATTGTATTTAAATCAACAGAAGAATCAAGATTAATTGGAACAAATCTTCCTCCAAAGGATGAACTTTTAAAACAACCTGAAGTAAGATTTAAAGTGACGGAAACCTTCTCAACTTTTTAATATTTATATAACTCATTCGTTTCTAATTTTTTTACTTAGACAGCATTTGCGGATGTTTTTCCATTTTTAATTCTAAGTGAAGAATCCTTATCGGATCTTAATAAAAGATTAACAACATCGGTTACTTGTCGTAATTTTAGGCCAAATATCGTAATAAAAGGGTGTGAAAAACCTTATGAAGAAGACAGATGGAAAAAAATCATGATAAGTGATAATTTATTTTACGTGGTTACCAAGTGTCCTCGTTGTGTCAGTAAGTGTTTATTATTACAACCTAAAACGTAAAAAATAGTAAGAGTTCTACAAACCGAAATCAAATATTTTTGTAGTGACTACGATCAACCCCGAGACTGGTAAAAAGGAAGGATTGGAACCATTAAAAACTTTACAATCTTATCGTAGGGTTGATCCAGGTGTAAAATATAGGGGTTGTTTTGGTAAAATGATTTATTCTTGATTTTTTTTTTTACATGAAAATTTGCATCTCTTTATATGTAACTGAAAATTTTATTTCGATTAAATACAGGAATGAATGCTATTCATAATAAACCAGGTAAATTTAAATTAATGCGAACTAATCATTTCTAATCATTTCCAAGGTTTAACCGGAATCCCTTTTATCCTTATTAAAATCCAAGGTATTACTCTTAATATTGGGGATCAGGTTAAGGTAATTGCAACAGGAGAACATATTCGTGAGGTTTAAAATATAAAAATAAAGGTTGATTGATTCTAATGAAATAATAAAATAAAGATAATACACGTGATAATTTCTATTTGCGTTATTTCACTTAATGTAAATGTCTATCATTATGAGATTTGGCAACTTTTCCTAATAATTCAACTTGATTCGCGATATCACGAAGGGCTCCTAGTACGACCCCATTACCTTTAATAAAACCATATATGTGGTATTTTAACCCTACTTCTTCACAAAATCCCTTAACCAAATTTTGACAATTTCGAAGATTATGTCTTGGTACTCTTGGAAATAAATGATGAACGGCTTGAAATTGCAAACCACCATGAAACCAATCCATCCACCAAGGACAATCAACGTCCATCGTAGTACGCAACATCTTCCTTGGGAAGGACTCTAAAGGTCCAAAATCTTCGGTTGACATACCAAAATGTGATAAAGTAATTTGTACGTGTAAGATCATCGTAATGGCGTGCGATATTAAGACGTAGGAAAGAAGTAATGGTATCGATGGTAAAAATGATAACAAATAAATATACCAACACCAAAAAAATATCATTCCACTTATTTCTAAATTACGAAAGGCCATATTCTCCTCGTTAATTAAAAAATCAATTGATAATGCGTAAAGGTTAAATCTGCCGAAGCACATGATTGGATAATATAAATAATGTTGAAAGGATACGAAGAATCTTGCCACCGCATCGAAATGTAAAGTTCTTTTGTAAAAACTTGAATATAAATTATTAAATAATTTTGTTGAGACGGCAAAAAATGGTAAATGTTGAATGTCAGGATCATGTTCAGGATCATTGGTTATGATATGATGAACATAATGACTTCTTTTCCACCATCCGATGCTCAACCCTCCCATAAAATTTGCAATAATCACACCGATGATATTATCCACGAGTAGATTATGAGTTATACCGCTATGTCCTGCATCATGAGCCGAGAATGCAATTTGATGCCAAAAGAGTCCAAGACAAACTGCGCTAGTTAAGAAATGCCAGGTTTGAGTTCCGTAAAACATCAACATAACTGCCGAAATTATTAAGAAAACGTAACGAATGGTTTCATAAAAGTAATTCCAATAATCACATTCATATAATCCTAGTTCATGAAGTTTTGAATAATATCTACGATAAGTTTGAGATATTAACTTTTGTTCCGCAAAAGATAATCTTTCTTCCTTGAAGTCCTCAGTCTTTCCCCCATATTCCCCGATGTAAAAGGTATTGATTTTCTTCTTGTATACTTCTTCAGGATGAAAAACATTTATCTCGTCGGTAGCATCTTTACCAATCATATGACGAATTGCAAGTTCCCCTCCTGGGTGGTATTTTAACCACTTGTTCAATTTATACACTTTATTATTATATATTATAAGTATTTGACCACCCTGAACGCGTTTTTCAAAGTCTTCTTTACTAATGTATTTATGTTGAAGTGTCATTGTTTCAGTATTTGGAGGTGCCATCGTTAATAGAATGAGAGTGGCTGTGTTCAGGTATTAAATATTACGGTTATATTTTATTATGATATAGATGAAATAAGTTATTTATATTGTAAAATTTAAAACAAGAGAAAAGAAAAAAAATGAATTTTTCGCGTTAAAAATTTTTATTAAAGAACGCGAAGGAATTTATTTTTTTTGGTTAATCATGAACATAAATTACAAGGAGGTAAGAAAGAAAGAAAAAAAAAAAGAAAAAAAAAAAAAAAAAAAAAAGGATAAAAAACGAGAATATTTATTGGATTTATTATCAATATCAAAAATCAGATTTTCATCAAATTATTATTTATTTGCTCTTTTAGATTAGAAGTAAACCAAATTGAGACAGATTTTATTAAACCACGAGGCAAAGATGGACACAAGGGTTATAAAATGTTTCTACAACGAAGTGTAATTTTGAATCAGCGTACAAACCTCTCTGATTGCTGCAAAAACCCCATTCAAATTGAAAAAATAAGATTTGATGGATTTTCGAAAATTCGATTGTCGGGATAAACGGTAATCGAACCAGTACCAGCGATCGTTAAAATTTAGGAGCTCAAGCTAAACCTTATTTTCCAATTTTCCTGGAATATTGAGTTAGGATATATAACAAACATGTATAGTATGAACATACATTCGAAACCAATACAAGTTTGTACAAAATATGTTGGATTGGGTTACCCAAATTTCAATTTTGATCGGGGCATGATTTCGCACGTGAATCCTATTTTTACATCCCCTTTGTCACTTTATTAATAGCGTTCCATACGACTTATCGTGCAACCCGGGTACACAAACTCGGCTGATTTAATCATGTGACATACTCGATTTATATAAATATTAAATTTCGTCATTAAAAAAAAAATCCTCCTCTTTCCCATCTGCTTTATATTAAAGTGGTAAATCAAATTCATCCGTTATAATGAGGTATAATAAATTCATCGTGAGGTTTTCTTTTTATGTACGTTTAATAATAATAATTCCTTTTTGATAAGCAGTAGTAAAATTCAAGTGCCAGCCGTGAGAGAGTCAATAAGGATCGTTTTAAAAGAATCTCAGGAAAAAGACCGAAAATTTACTGAGACGATGGAATTACAAATTGGTTTAAAAAATTATGATCCTCAAAGAGACAAACGTTTTAGTGGAACTGTCAAGTAAGTGACATCCAACTAGAGGTTAAAAATTTACAAAAAAAAAAAAAAAAAAAAAAAATAAAATTAAAAATTATGATTTAAAATTTTTATGATCGAAGACTTCCTAATGTCCCTCGACCAAAGATGTCCGTAGCTATCCTCGGAGATGCTCATGACTGTGATAGAGCTAAAGAGATTGGGCTTGAATCCATGAGCGTTGAGGATCTTAAGAAACTAAATAAAAATAAAAAACTTATCAAGAAACTTGCCAAAAAGTATGACGCATTCTTGGCCAGTGAATCTTTAATTAAACAAATTCCAAGATTATTGGGTCCCGGTTTGCACAAAGGTGGGTTTTTAACTATGGTTATGTTGTGATATATATCCTGAACAAATTATTTATTAATTAATTATTATTATTATCATTATTAACATTTGCCACTTAGCCGGTAAATTTCCTACTCCCGTTACCCACAATGATGATTTGAACGCTAAAGCGGATGAATTAAGATCCACCATCAAGTTTCAACTTAAAAAAGTTTTATGTCTTGGTGTCGCGGTTGGGCATGTTAAAATGAGTGAAGATGAATTGGTTGCTAACATAATGTTGAGCATCAACTTTTTGGTTTCCTTGTTAAAGAAAAACTGGCAGAACGTTAGAAGTTTATATATCAAATCCACCATGGGCAAGCCTCAACGTTTATATTAAGTGAAAGGATTCTTTTTTTTATTAAATAAAATATTTTTTTTTTTATAGTTAATTTCAAATCTTAAAATAAAAAAAAAAGCTATAATTTCTTATAAATTCTATAAAAAGTTCAGCGTTCTAATTGGCAAAAGATTTTAGTACATGACTTTTTTTTTTTTCGAACGTGACACGCGCCACATTGTTACAAACATGTATATATATATCCTATTCATCTTTCTCTTTTCTCCTTTTTTTTTTTTTTTTTTTTTTCATCTTATTTTCAACGTTTCATCGTTTCATCTCTTTTTTTCCTTTTTTTTTCACTTACACGAACCAATCATAAGTTTGCTTAAAACTTTTTGCTATTGATGGATTCTACGGTTTTAAGCATTTTAGGCGGTGCAGTTGTGTTGGGAGCTTTAGTTACCTATTTATCACGCAAAGCGACTTCTTTACGTGATCCCGTTAAGGTATGGCATGCCTTAAATAAACCTGTCATAAGAAGGTTTAGACCTTTGATATACTCTTATCTACTTTCTTTCGCTAATCCTTTTGTCTCTTGTATTCGTAAGTATTACTTGAATCTCTCTTGATTTACGGTTTCGTTTTTACGTGACCTGATTTTTATCAATTGACGAACCACAGATTTGCGCATTACAACCCTCAACAAGGGAATTTGTTCCGGAATTTTAAAGGTATTTTATTAACCTTACCTTTAATTTTCATTTTTTTTTATTCGTTTTAAATGTTATGTTAATCGACAGTCCTTTTAGGAACAAAAGAGAGTTCACAATCCCTTTAACTGTATTCACGCAGCGGCGCTTTGTACGTTTGCCGAAACTGTTGGGGGCTTGGCGGTATTTAGTCAATTAACCAAAAAAGATAGAGCAATCGTTACAAAAATTAATATGGAGGTAAGCAAGCAACGAATGATCTTCTCTCTTACATTTCATTTATTTTAAAAAAAAAATTTTTTTTTTGTTTTTATTAGTATCTCAAAAAAGCGAGAGGTAAATAAATATATCATACATATATATGTTTTCTTCATATATTTTAACGAATGAATTACAAATATAGGGTTAATTACAGCCATCTGTCAATTTAACCTTGAAGAAGTTAGCGAACAACCCGAAAGTGAATGTGAGGTTACTCTTAGGGATGAAACATTAGATATTGTGGCAAAGGCAACAATATTTTGGCAAATTAGTAGAAAGGACTAAAATTTCAAAAAAGGCTTCAGTTACTAAATTTGGTTACAAAGTTCAAATTTTACAAGAAAAACTTGGGACAAATTTAGTTTAATTAAAATGGGTTCGATAATCAGGTTTGACAGATTTTTAAGGGTTGAATATTTTTTAAGGGGGGTTTGTCGATCGAAAGGATAATAATGATTCAACGAAAGAAGTACAATTTACTGTTGAGCCGGTAAAAAAAATATATATATATATAATATTATTTATACATTTTTATTTGCAAAAAAAATGCAACAATTTTATTTAAAAATATGTAACGCGCGGATATATATGAAGAAAAAAGATATACACTAATATTAACAAAAGCAGGAAGAAAAAAGAAAAATAAAAGGAAAAAGAAATTGACTGACTCTATAAACAATCACATTTATAAAAGTGAAGAAAAATTTACAAAGCGAAAAAAAAAAAAAGAGGTTGTAATCTATTTTCACGGAAGGATCTTTGGGGAAAAAAGAAATAAAATAAAATAAAATAAAATAAAATAATTTTACACGAAAAAGTGAAAAATATTACAAACAATGAGAAAGCATCAAAAAGATTCTTTTTCTAAAATAAAAAAAAAAAAAAAAAAACCAAAAAAAAAAAAGTGAAAATAGATTGTTTATTCTTCTAAAAAAGATCATCGAAAAATTCAAAGGAAAAGCCCGACTTGATGTAATAAGCAACAGAAGCGAGTATCACAGCAATTACAAAGTTGACTATCCAAGATGATAAGGATGCTGAAGTGGTTGATTCAATATTATTAATAGTATTATTAATGTTAGATTGAGAATCTTCATTTAATGAAGAAAAATCATGAGGTGTTATATCCGAGTATGGAGGCGATGTTTGATAAGAAGGAGGAGGAAGACTAGCCTCGAATTCATCGGGTCTACCAACGATATCCTCTTGTCTTCTACGTTCAAACCTTTCAGTAGTTTCAAGAAAATTTCTTGTTGAAGAAATAGAAGGAAAAAATTCTGGTTCAAGTTCAGGAGGCGACGAAGGATCCCTTTCTTGTTGACGTATCGTGGAAGTCGATGATCCATAATCCAGTTCAGAAAGAGCGCCAAAATTCGGCGGCAAACTTGAAAGCCGATCTTCGTTAATGTCTTGAGAACCTAATACGCTCCATGTATCAGTGGCGTAAGAAGGTGCGAAGCGATGATCATCATCATCATATAATTCATTATTAACAACGCTCCAAGAGCCCGCAAAACGTGTGCTTCGTCCGTAATAATCTGAATAATCCGAAAGATATTATTTTAAATAGACAAGTAAAAAAAAAATTTATTTTTTTTTTTTTTGAAAGGAAAATAAAAAAGATGGGGGGGAAACGTGGTTAGAAGAAACAATCATCTTTCGATCAATTATTTAAATTAAAAATAATAATAAAATAATAAATGATATAATGATTATTAATTAATTACCTTGAGACATCCTTTTTCTTCGTTTGATTTTTAATTAAATCAGTATATCTTTATATTCCGCTTTTTTTTTACTCCTTTTTTTTTTTTTTATTTAGAGTGGAGAAAAAGTTAGGAGAAAAAAGGAAAAAAGGAAAACACGTTGAGTGAAAAAAAAAAAAATGACAGAAAGGATATTTTTATACTTGATCAGAAGTTTGTTGCTATCGGTTTTTGAGTTTCGGCTTGTACAACAAACATGTTGAGAAAGATAGCAAGGTCACAAGGTCAAAAATTTTGACTGAATATGGTATAAAGTACATATATGGTATAAAGTAACGTTAATATAAATAAAAAAGTACTTGATCGTTTTTTTTAATTTATCAAACACGAACGTTTTTTTTTTTATTTATTTTAAAAAGTAATAAATAATCTTGTTAATGCAAAAAGTAAACCAAATGGAGTTTTAATTTTTTTTTATTATTGATCAGGCTTTTTTATCCAAATTGAGAAACAATTATATTATTATATATTATATATTTGTACTTTTTGCAAGGTAATTGAATGCGAAATAAATCTCTACATACATTTTTTTTTTGTAATTCATGTTATTGTAAAATGATACCGAATATCGTGTGTAATTTTTTAAACCTGAAAATGAAAAATTTTAATATGTCTATATATATATTAAGAACGATTGCGATACCCGCAGCAATCACCCGCAGCATTTAACCGCAGCAATTTCAGAAATTACAAATTAATTGAATTTCAATGAGAACTGATTTAGTAATTCTTCAATGAATCATTACTTTTCCGGCACGCGTACTCCGAAACTCTCTTATTCGCAGAAATGGAGCTGCTTTTCGTAAAAGTAAATATATGTGTGTAATGTAAATAAAATAAAGTAAAAAAAATAACAAGGTTTTTACGTTCAGAAATGACCCTTCCCCCCCCCAAAGTCAATTCTCGAAAAGTAAATGACAATGTAAATTAATAAGGTCACGGCACCCAGTTATCTCATAGCTAAAAAGAATTCGGAGATCAGGCTTTTATACACAACTAAAAAGGTTAATCCAAAGACGCCCTCGATATTTTTTTATTTAAAATTTTCCTTTTTAGATACCCTCATTTACTTTCATTGGTGATTAAGTAACTGATAAAAGTCGAGAACGATGAAGTCATTGATAATATCAGTAAATGATTCGATGCATAAACGTTAATGCTAATATATAATTTTTTTTTTCTCTTGTGCAACAAAAAAACGGAATTCCTGAAGAGACTGTTTTCAACCATGGAATTATGCCCTTCGTAAGTTAACGACACCCCTTTAATTTAAGAATAAAATTTTTTAATCCAATGAATCGTTCCATTTAGTCTATTATCCCATTTGAAAAAAAAAAACCAGTTGCGTATGGGAATTCTATTTTGTTTCTCTTGTTTAATTTAATTATTAATAAAATCACATATTTAAAGAATTTCCTTTTATAAAAAAAAATCATTACTTTACCTTTAATAAATACCGGGTTCTTCAAAGCCTTGGATCGTTCGGAAGCAAGTCCTATGAAGAACATTTTGTTAAAATGCATATTTTCTTTTCATGTACACCCTCTCTCAATACACCTCTTATGCCCGGTCCCGAGGGGGTGCACTTGGAGAGGTATATCCATTTTACAGTTGTAAATAAATATTATTGCCAAAAGAAAAAAATGATTTTATATATTTAAAAAAAAAAATTTATGAATTTATCATCAAATCATATGATTTAAAATAACCAATCAAATTTAATCGCAATTAGCTATTAGATGTGTCGAAACTCCGAAACCACCGAAACTAGTTTCTTTGAACAATTTTTATTTTTTTTTTGGCAGTTCATTTACGTGCAAATTATATGGTGTGTTGTTTTATGTGCATCGCATAACCGATTCGAGATTAATGAGCTATATGATCCATACAATTGTATTTCGTCATTACATATATTTTATTTATAATTACAAATAACGAACGACTCTGCAAACGTTTTCCACAATTGTAAGTTGACAACGGAGGATAAGGTACCAACAACGAATGCGAATCAAATGACCAAAACTCAATTAGAAAATATATAAAAGAACATTTAACATGAAAAATTTTTCATTGCTTCAAGATTACTAATATGGGATTATAATATTCCAAAATTATTATAGTTAATTAAATGACATTATTTAATAAATAAACTTCGGAAAAAAAGTAATCATTAAATTCTCAGAATCGGTCATTCATTTTTGTAATACAAAATGATACATTGTCTTGTCCCCTTAGTCTCATGACCATTCGTGTCAAATGAAAAAAAAGAGACCAATACTGTTTCTCGAATTTGAATTTATAACAAATGCTAATATTTTTAAGTCGTCAAAAGAATTATATGACGGATTTGATTATTTATATTAACTTCACAGGTTATCAGAGAATACGGTATAATTATCCAGTTTCAAATAATTGTTACAAATTATTATCATATAATTATTAATTGACTACCCATCTGTAAAATAAGAAATGACTTAAATAATAATAAAAAACAAAATAAAATCATATGATAATAAATACCTCTTTAAGAATCTAATTTCAGAGTTTACACTTTCGCTGGAAATGGTCCAGCGCGTTTTACATAAAGTTTTTAAGCCTCCTCCATTCCTAATGTTAATTCTTCACTTTGTTTTATGGATTTTCTTATTTAATGTTAGAGGAAGAGGAGTATGTTTTTTCAGAACTAGAAGGTATTCTCGTATAACATAATCGGGTGCATTCTTGCAGTGGTTAGCGATGTGCCTTTTTGCACTTTCACCTCGATATAAAGAGAAAACACGAAACTCGCAAATAGTACGAGCATGACCATCTTGTGTATTTTCGGAGCGTTCAAAGTATTGTTTTCCTTGAGACCGACCCTCCTCTTTGTTCACTTTTCATAACTACAGAAAAAAAAAAATTGATTATCAACCTATATAGCTAAATAGGTTTCGGAGAAGATTTCGGGGTTTTGGATTTCGGAAATATGGATGGGAAATTAACGGTTAATTAAGATTCGGTTAATTAACCGTTAATTAACACTAGGAAATGGGGACCGTTGTCAAGTACGAAGCGATTTTGCAAAAAAAAATTGATATCTGCTAACGGAGCAAAAGAATTCTCGATGAAAGTGAAGATTATTTGTAAGTTTTGATGGGCCCATAATATTTTGAATTGAATCTTTTTTGGTGACCAATCAAAAATTTTCAAGTTCTCAAATTAAAAAAAAAGTTTGAAACAATATTTACAATCTTCTAATAATTTAATGGAATAAAGCATACTAAGGCATGGCGCCCTCATTTCTCTTCAACCTAAATCCAGAGGTTTGGAAATAAAATCCTCAACCGCACTATAAATTTGGCAAAATTTTTGTAATCACAAAATTTGTGCAAATTGTAGGTAAACGCCAAACATCGACTCATCGACTCAATTATAAAGAAAAGGGCCAGTCACGTATCGACTCAAATTTCGAGCGGGGAAAAAGAACATCTTGAGTAGTCCTCCGGACTAATTATATGTTTTTATGTATCACTATGTAAAAATGTCCTTTTATTTTGATTGGTCAACTAAAAATATCTTTAGGTTTGGATTATCCTTATTCGGGTGGAATTTATTGAAATGAGCAGGCATTAGTAATAAAAATTTGTTTTATACTTTTTTTTTTTTTTTTTTTAAAAAAAACTTCTTTTTTCTTTTTTCAAATAAAAATAAATAATTTATGGCAGACTCGGAAGGAGCATCAAATAGTGAGTTTTTTAATGCATTTAACTTTACAAAAAAAAAAAAAAAAAAAAAAAAAAATATAATTGTACATTAATTTACCAATTTTTGATTTGTTTTTTCACTCTTGTATGATAGATGAACTTCTCTTGGTTGCAGCCAAACAGGACTCGGAAGATATTTTAGAGGATATTTTTTCTCAACCGGATACTTATAATATAAATTATTCCGATGCTGTTGGAAACTCCGCACTCCATTACGCGTATTATATCCATTATATCTTCATTTAAGCTATTTGTTCAAAGAAAAAAAGAAATACACGCGTTTTTCTTTTTTCCTTTCTTTCTGGAAACATGATTTATTGATTGAATTTCCTTTATTTTTTTATTTTATTATTTTAGTGCTCAATTCGGATCTTTTACTGCCATTGAAGTGCTATTGGGACAACCAAATATCAATGTTAATTTACCAAATAAATTGGAATATGATACACCACTTCATAAAGCCGTACAATATATAGATGATCCTTCCGTGGCTTTAGAAATAGGTATTATATTCCACCCCTCCCCCCTTTTTTTAATAATAATGATGATAAAAATAAAATTTGATTCTTTATAAAATTATTTTTGTAGTAAAATTATTGATAAAACATGGAGCGGACCCAACGTATGTTTAATAATTTGTACTAATTTTTTTTTTTAAAAAAAAAAAACTAAGTGTTTTTTTTTTAATGATTTTAGCAAACTTAATAAGAATAGACAAAAACCTCAACAATTAGTTGATTCGGAAAATACAGAACTAAAAAACTTACTTCAAAAAGCGACTTTAGCCTTACAAGTGGTTTGTACATTTTTTTTTTTTTATAAAAAAAAAAAATAATAACCTTTAAATAATATTTTATTAATAAAAATTTATATTATTTTTTAGGATGCTAGTGATATTGCCCAAGATGATTCTGATGATAATGATCCACCAAGCGATATTAGTGAGGATTAATAATATAATAAGTTTGAATATATATATGGCAAAGTTTATATTTATCGTTATTATTTAAGAAATCTGAATACCAACATCGAGAAAATTTGATTGTATATAATATATACATACATACATACATACATACATACATACAACATATATACAATATATATGTTTTTCTAAACCATTACTTTGTAATAACTTATTTATTTATTTTAATATTTTTAAAACAAATCTTTTATTATTGTTTCAAAATTGGATTAAACATTAATAAAATTAAATATATTATTTCCTCAAACTTTAAAGTCCATTTAAATTAATCAAAAAAATAAATGTTTACTAAAAAAAAAAAAAAAAAAAGATTAATACCTTCCAAAATTATTCGTATTAGGCCAACCAGAATTTGTGTTTCTCATTAATTCATTATCAGTAGCAGAAAATAAATTATTATTATTATTCAATTGATTATGATTAGTATTATTCGTAAATGTATTAAATGAATTTTGTCGTCGTTGTTGTTGTTGTTGTTGTTGTTGTAATCCAAAACCTGATGATGTTCTTTGCTGTTGCATTGCAAAATTAGAAGTTGTAACCTGTTGCTGCAATTGTCCAAATTCGCCACCAAATCCCGGTGTATTATTGGTAAAAGTAGACACGTTTCCAAAATTTGGTAAAGAATGTTGTCGATCTGGCATCATTCTAGGTGTAATCATTGAATTTTGTTGTTGCATAATTCCACCATACTGAAAATAAAATTATTATTTTTAAAAAAAAAAGAAAAATCAATTAAAAAAGAAAACTCGGTTAAAAATAACTTTACATACCGAGTTACCATTAGTTGTTAATACATTATTGTGTGTATTAGAATTATTTGTGTTAAAATTTATTCCGAGTAAATCAGGATTTCCCATTCCATTCATCCCGTTTGAACCAGATATAGGAGGTCTCATATTTCCAAAGGGTTTGTTGGAATTAAAACCGTTTCCTCCTATATCTGTTAAATTCTGTTGAGTAAACTGATTAACCTGACTAAATTGATTTTGATTTTGCCCAAATCCGGAACTGACTGGTCTTAATTGCGTTCCATTGTTCATTGAACTAAATACATTAGATGGTGATTTTTGAGGCGTACTATATAACGATAGAATCGCATTCTTATCAAATTTATTTTGTTGCTGTTGAAACTGTTGCTGTTGTTGCTGCTGTTGTGAATTACCTTTGAATCATAAAAACAAATTATTAATGAGCTTAGAACTAAAATAAAGAGAGGGGGACAATAAGTTTAACAAACCGGTTCCTTGAGATCCAAACGAATTCCAAAGGTTTTGAGATGAATTTTGAGCGGTTATTTGTGACTGTTGAAATGAGATTTGTTGCGAGGATGGTGAGTCTAAAAGTGATTGACTGGGTTGTGAAACTGGTAATTTAACGTGCATTCGTTGTTTCTCTGTTTGGGAAGTGGCTATAGGATTGTGACTTGCACTATTGACTTTACTAGAATTATTGTTCACTGGATTACGAGCTTCCAATAATAGTGCAGCAGCTACTTCAACATTACCACCAGTGCGTCGAAGAGCATCACGATTCTTTGTTTCATCTTGAAAACCCAAATTCCATAATTGAGTTAGTTTATCATTACTCGAAATCCCTGGAGCACTAGGGGTAGGAGTAGGAGTAGTAGGAGTAGGAGTAGTAGTAGTAGTATGAGGAGTAGGTGACGCTGATCTCTTAGAAAGTTTACAGAGAATTTCAATAGTTGCACCAAGATCCCCATTAGTAGTATCTAAAACTTCGCGATTTCGAGTATTATCATCGAATCCCATCTCTTTGAGTTGGCGCAGCGCGAGATCATGATTCCTACGTTCATTATTATATTTTAAGATGGAATTGTTCGTTGGACGACGTGGAGGTGTTGACGGAGGAGCAACAGACGAAAGATGTGTTGATTGCTTGAATCGATAAATTAAATAACAATAAAAGTTAAAGAAATCGAAATAATCCTTTCTTTGATATACAAAAAAGATATAAATATATTACATACCTTATCGGGATTTTCACGATAAATTTGCTTTTCGTATTTGTTTCGTATGTACCTTTCCATTTCGCTAAAAAAAAAGGGGGGAGGGTACTATTAAAGATTTACTATGTTAAAAGGATTCACGTGTATGAAGTGAAAGATTACCTATCAGAAGCATTAACTGGCACCGGATGAAATTCTGGACGAGGATTCCATTTGGCATTAGCTTTCAAATTTCCCCATTGTCGCATATTCTATGAAGTAAGGCAACGAGACGTTCAAATTAGCTAAAGAGTATAGTAAAGTTCCGATCAATTAAATACCAATTACCTCGATTTGTTCTGGTGTCCAAGAATCTAAAGATATTGATTTGACTTTGGAAATATGGGTACCCATTTTACGATGTAAACCACCACAACGTATGCAAAGAAATAAGCCAAGATTATGAGAAGCCCATCGAGGTCCTACATGTTTTCAAAAAGAAGGGTAATGTTTGATTAAAATTAAAGATTAAAATAATGATATAATAGATCTGAAGTTATCGTATCCTACTAAAACGGAAAAAAAAAGACATATAAAGCGTGAAAAAAAAAAAAAAAAAAAAAAAATTAAAATATATTTATCTTAAAGGTGATAAACTGACCTTTTACACCACAGTCTGCACAAGTATCGTTTCCTGGCTGTTTCGTCATTTCGAGCAGGATACGCTCGTGTTTTTCGTTCACTACTTTTTTAGCTCGATCCATTTAAGATATTTATGTATTTTAGATTCCTAATAGGAAGATAGGTTTTCGATTTTAAAAGATGATTTAAAAAACGGTGTGTGTAAATATTTAAAAAAAAACCCAAACTAACCCACGTTCCTCATACAAGGCGCAGATGGCTTGCATTATGAAATGATGATGTAATTTTATTTTGATTTTCGTTTCACAAATTCCATTTTGCGACAAGAACAAAAAGTTTAAATTGGGATCACGTATTTATGATACATGTCAAAATCAAACATTTTCCAAGAAAAAAATTTTAACCGTGTGAGGTTTGGACGGATTTCTATAAATAACCCACATCAAAAACTCTCGTTCAATCAAATGAAAAAATTAAAAAGATCATTTTGATTAAGACCCTTTGAATCTTAAGTGCTAATCATGAAATACGATCTTCATGTTTTATTGGTTATTTTATAAAATGAATGAACATTTTCCAAAAATAGAAAAGATTTTTAAATCTATTTATCGCGGATTAACTGGAAATTATACGTCAAACATGTCTACTACAGATTTAGAGAGTTCGCTTAAAGAAAACGAAGAGTCTTTAAAAGAAATCAGTGAGCTCTTACTTCTTAGTCCAGAAGAACCTGAACTAAAGAACCTTGCTATAGAATTGGAGAACTTGATAAAGTTACAACAGGATCAAATATTACAAGCGAAAAAAAAAGAGTTGCTCTCGAGATTTGGTTTATCTGAAGAAAAGAATGGTGAAAGTGGAAAAACGGTGAGAACTTTTATATATTTTAAAATTAAGGTTTCCGTTTAAAGTACTTTCAAACGAATATCAAAATGCTTTAGAATATCAAAAATTATCAATAGTAGACCGTCTCATTGCACCAATTTGAATGCCAAATGAGTTTTATGAATTTATCGGGCAGCAAACTTTCAAAGCAGTTATAGATGCTTGCCTTAAACTACAAAAATGTAGTTTCGTCAATTTTCAATGCTTTTTTTATATCAATAAATATAAACTAATTAAATATATTTTTTTAATATATTTTATTTCAAAGAATTCATAATTTTCGGCAATTAAAAAAAAAATAGTTTCGTCAATTATAAAAGATTAGTTTCGTCAGTTTTGAACTTAAGAAGGGTAGTATTGGCAAGCATCTTTACTGAAAGTAAAAAATGTTTTTTCGATATTCGAATATCAAATTCTCAAACGGAAACCCTAATTAAATTTTTGTTTTGGAAAAAAAAAAAAAATTATTATATTGTACTGACTTGACTTATTTGTCTTGGGAAAAACTTCAAGGCGGAAGACGCTGATATGATAGCACAAAACAATTTAATTATTAATAATGAAGACATGGAAATCGTACAACCGGGTAATAAATGTTGCATTCCATGGACCCATCCAGACTATGAGAAAGTGTACTTTCTACCAGGATTAATACATAGTATCAATGCTGAGAAGCAAACTTGTGAAGTATTGATTTTAACCCCAATTACCCAATCAATTCGCATTTGTGAAAAATATATTTCCTCCCAATGTAAAACGACACCTTGTCCATATAATTGTTCTCATGGAGAGGAGATATCATTTGAACTTGTAACACCTTATGAACTTTTAAATATTGGGAATATGGATGCTTATCAAGTTGGCCGATATTTTTGGGCTAAATATAAAGATGATGAAGTTTGGTACATGGCTAAACTCATAAGTATTGAAACAGGTGGTAAAGGATTTAGAATAATTTACAAGGGTTATGAGAATGAGCATCCGAATGGTTTTGTGGTTTCCCATGATGAAATTATACCTGTCGTTGGACTCGAGAACGAACACGATGAATCTGACGAGGAGAGTTCTTTCAGCGAATATTCCGATGAATGTGCTAGCTTAAGTGAAAATGATTCTTCTTCATTAAAGATAGGACTGGGTACTTTTAACGATGATGATGATTCCTCCAATGATCAAAACGATACTCAGATTCAATTTGCTGAGTGGGAAAAGCATACAAGAGGCGTCGCTTCTCGGATGATGGCAAAAATGGGATATAAAATGGTAATGATTAAAATATAAGAACATTTACTTTATTTAAATTTTGCTCCGTATCAGGTAAGAAAGTAGATCTATACGATCTTTTTTTTTCTTTTTTTTTTTTATCAAATGCACTCTTTTTAGGGCGAAGGTTTGGGAAAGAACAGCGAAGGTATTACGAATCCGATTGAAGTAAAACTCTTTACTAAAGGAGTTTCATTGGACTTTATTGATAAGAAGGGAAAAGCTGATCAGACAGGTCCTCATCGTCGACGACGCCGTCGTCATAAGTCGGAAGGATCAAAAATTGTTAATTCAGGAACACATATTTCACATGGGAGAATCAAAGATAGAATTGAGTATTCTAATTTGTCGAGCACGAACGATAATAATTCGGATCCTCAACAAACAGTTTTTGATTTTTTGAATGTTTCACTGAATAAAGGCAAACATCGTGACAACAGTAATATGACCGGAGTTGGTAATATATCGACATCTTCACTACAAAGCAATACGTCAGCTGGATCATCGTCAAACAATAGTAGTACTGATCGTTCTCATAAATTTTCATCTGAAGCTAGTCAATTACAACTTTATCAACTTCAAAATCAACTTAATCAAAAATCTCAGGAACTTCAAAAAGCAAAGGAATCATTCAAAAGAAATGAAAAGAAAGATCCTACTATGGCTAATCATTTTAGAGAAAAAATAAATGAAATCGAAACAACCTATCAGTTATTAAAAAGAAAAGAACAAGAAATTCAACGTGGTCTTGATAGGGCTAAAGGTCGTAAAAAAATGACTATATTTTAGATAATCATTTTTATTATTATTTTTTTTTTTTTGTAAAATTCAATGTAAAATTATTACTTATTGTATATGTATTTCTTTTTAAATTTGAGTTATTTTAGTAAATAAATCATTTTCAATTAATAGATGATATATATATTATTCTTATAACTAACAACATTTTATGTTTAATAAATCGCGTATTCAATAGAATACAGAAAAAGAAGATTAACAACTTTTGCATAATTTCTGTCCTTCACAAATGACAATGCAAGAAATTCATCAATCTCTGTCTTTGGATACTGAACTTTCGATAATATTGATGTTATTACAAAAAAAAAATATATATATATATTTCATTTATGTTTATATTGAGGGTAGGCTTTAATTTGTTCAATATCTTTGAATGTTCCACATTAACAGTAATTTTGTGGTATTGATAATGATTGATTTATATAATATTAGATATATATTGATTTATTTTTAAATTAAATTTTAAAAAGAAATAAAATATTATATATTACAGTAAATTAGTTATTAACAAGATATCCATAACGACCAGCCGAAAGTAAACTAAAATAATGATGATGATGATGAGTAAAATTACTTTTAAACATGTTAATAATATTTTAATTTTTTATTTTTTTTTATTTTTTTTCTTTACCTAAGAACAGTAACGAGGCCAGCAGGCATAAATTTCCCGCTTTTATAAAAACGAACACCCATTACAAGGAATAATGTAAGAGACACGACTACAAATAATTTTTTTTTTTTTAAAAAAAAAAATAAATAAAAAGGTTAAGATTTAAAGAAACTCAAATTTCTTTTTCAAAGTGAATCAAATTTACCTAAAGCTAAACCGGCATTCTTTGGATTTGTGCTTACGCGATTTGCCGCGAATGCCTATAATAGAATGATGGAATGATGATCAATAATAAATACATAGTCGCGAAACAAAAAAAAAAACAAGATAATGAATTATAACTCGGCTTACTGCTAAACCACCAAATGATAAGCCGGCTACTAGAGACATCATACTACCTAGTTACAATGAAATATTTAGTTAAAAAGGTCTGATAATACAAGACGTATTGAATTTTCTCAACAACCTGCTTTTAAATAGCCAAATAAACCACCTAAAGCAATAGTCTATTTTAAGAATAAAGACTTAAGTTCGTTAATATTATATTTAAACTTCGAACTTATACATAATAAAATCGTTAATTAATATTTACAAAGGCATAAGTGTATCCAATAAAATCGGTCATTGTTTAAAAAATGGAAAGAATGAATGAGAATTTTTTTTTTTTTGATGGTTCATTGTTTTCATTAAAATCAGCCAATGTTGTGTCACTTAACTATAAAGGTTAATCTTTGATGGTTATTTATGTTTATTTATGTATGTATTGCGTTTTTTTTTTCCCGTTTTTTTTTTTTTTTTTAAGAAAAAAATTTTTTGATTTTAGGAAAAAATGGAGTGTCAAACTTGTCATAACTACCATCGTAAATTTTATTGTGCAAATTGTCTCCGCGAAAGGTATTATACTTATTAAAGAGTTATTGATAAGTTTTCATTTTTTCTAAAATAAAACTATATATATCTTTGTATAGATTAAAAACGTATAATGCCGAATACAAAAAAATATTTCAAGTAAAACAGCAAAAAATAGAGCGAGCTAATAAATTTCTTTCAGGCTCTGTTAGAAATCTTCAAATAAGTTTAGCTGATAAACATAATAGATTACAAAAACTAAACAACTTGGAAATCGAAGTGAAGAAAAGAAAAGAAGAAATAAGTAGAGGTATTCTTTTTTTTTATTTTTTTTTTAAAAAAAAAAGTTACTAACTTTACCGTATTAAAATATAGATCGTCAAGAAATCGAATCAAGAAAAAAAATTTTACGATCAAGAAGACAATTATTATTAGATACGCATACTTATTTTAAAAAATTTAAATCACATCAAAAATCCATTATAACAAAAGATATTGACAATATTAAAGAAAATTGGCGCAATGTACATCAAATCTTAATCCAGTCAAGAAAAGTTTTGATAAGTGAATTGGTTTCGATATTTGATTTAAAAAAATTAAATGATTATGAAATAAAATATTATCAAAATAACGATGATGGAGGTATCAATATAGAAAATAATGTAATTTCTTTATCCTCAAATGGAAATGGAAAAAATGAAGATTTTGAATTTTCTATTGCTGGAAGAACTTTGCCGAGAAAAGCCGATTTTACAAGTAATTAATTTTATTACGAAATTTGTTCAAATAAACAATTTAACTTGATTAAATTTTTTTTTTTTTTTTGTAGATTATCAATTGGAGGAAATTAATACAGCGGTGGGCCACGTAATACATATGTTAGGTTTAATAGCGCATTATCTTGGTGTGAATCTTCCATTTACGTTAGTAAATAAGGGATCAAATTCATGCGCAGAAGGCACTTTAAATGAAATAACAGAAAGGAGGTAGAGAATTTTTTTTTTTAAAAAAAAAAAAAAATTTTTCCTTTAGGATATAAAATATCAGTAATAACGATAAGGACTTATATAATAATAGTAAAAGGACACCGCTCTTTTTAACAGTCGAAAATCTAGAAGGGTTTACCGTAGGAATGGCTATGTTGAATTATAACATTGCTTATTTATGTCACACACAAGGTATTGAAATACCTTATCATAAAGTTCCTCATACTTTACATAATTTATTTCTTTGTTGCCATGCTTCTAATCTTGGAAGGTAAGTCGAATTAAACCTAAAGTGGTTGATTTTTGAGGTTCTTCATTACCATAACTTCCTTTTCAAACGTCAAGGTATGGACATCTTACTGAAATTTATCGACAACCTGATCAATCATTTAATTTGGAATTTCAAGAAGTTGTACGAATGATGTTGGCACCTAGAAATGGTTCAGATATAAAATATGATTTATTAATTTATAATATTATCGGAACTACTTTAAATGATTATTTTGAAGGAGGTAATTATTTTTTTTTTTAAAAAAAAAAAAAAATAAATAAAAACATATTTCTATTTCTATACATATATTAATGATATAAATGATTTTTCTTTTCTAGATATTGAAGATGATAATGAAAATGAGGATGGTGAAAATTGGGTTCTTTGTGATACTGTATAAACAGTATTAATGTTTATTTAAGTTGTAAATTATTACATTTTTATTTTGTCACAAATTTAATTTATTGCGCATAAGTTTTTGGATACAAATAGAAAATAAATAATTTTACAAATTTTGAAATGGTTTGTCTTTATTATATCTTATTTGATTATACAATTATTATAGGAAAAAAAAACAAGCTTAATTAATAATTGTATAAAACAAAAAAAAAAAAAAAAAATTAATAAGTCAATTTAATAAATAATTCTAATTCAGTATATAATACAATGACTTATTAAGCATATTCATTCTTAAGAGAGAGTAAAATTAGATATCCATATTGGCAGTTTTAATTAGACAGAATGGAATTAATTTAAATTTGATAATGTATTCTTAAATGTTCGGTTATCGAAAAAAAAAAGAAAAGAAATGTTCATTGGATGTATAATTTGAAATAAAATTAATCCTTCTGATTCTTGCCAATATAAGATTCCACCCTAATTCATTAACTTGTTTATTTAATTTTCTTATTTAATGATACTCTCTCAATTTTCATTCATATTTATTTTACCATAATGTTAAATTGATCTTTTTAATTAGGAAATCAACTCGGTAAATGTTATCCGGGACTTCCATTTTGACCTGTTACTACTGGGATTTCTGTATTAACCAATTTCTTTTGTAATGAACTTAATCGTTTGGTAATTTCCTTAATAACTGTTTACAATTATGTTATAATTGTTCGGGTAAAACAAAAATAATTTAACGTCGACAGACAGACAATATATATATATATATACACAGTAAAATAAAAAAGGCACAAAATAAAATTTGTACATACAACTATTTATAACTTTTCGATCATCATTACCGATCATTTCTTCGGAATATGGAGGAACATCTAGAATACTATTCAGCATGTAAATAGCGGATTGATACGCTTTTTCACATGCAGGTAAGTCTTCTCCAACCAATTCATTGACGGCTGCTTGGCGACTCTGTAAGAATAAGTATGTGAGATAAAATGTTGCGAAAGGCTTTTTCTTTTTCTTTTTTCTTTTTTTTAAAAAAAATATATATATATATTAATAATATATGTTACCATTTCAAGTGCTCGATCATAGAGAAGTCTTTCTACTATAACATTTTCTTCGATTGGAAAATTGGATTTAGCATATTCTGCCTTATCACAACATTCATTAAACCTTGCACGAACCCATTGTACAGCTTTATATATTTATATATATTTTTTTTTTTTTAAAAAAAAAATTATATACATTGTATATATTGAAGATGATGCTTTTAAAATCTACACAATACTATTTAGAAAATTTACCAGCAATTAATCTTGGAGAAGCTCGTTTTCCACCAGGATAATTTGAATTCTTTTCTCCTACATTTGTCCAATATTCTTTAGCACTATCCATGGCAGCCTGCAAAAAAGCAAGTGCCCTTAAATATAAAACAAACGCTTCCTCCGCGAATACCACGGCTACATTATCTGAGACAGGCGAATCATCCACCATGTCGCTACTGGATGATGGTGGTGGTGGCAAGAGTTTATTAAATTTCGTTTTAGCGAACTGGAAAATGACATACGCTTTATGTGCATGTTCTTCAATTGTTTTAACAACTGCCTCCTAGATTTAAATAATCACAATAAATATATATTTGTTTATTTATTTATTTGCAATATTCATTGAAAATTTTCCTTATAGGACATCTACAATACCTCTGCGGGATCATTCATCAAATCAGCGGAAGGAATTACAATAGCATTCCCTTTATGTTTTGAATATTTGTCACTCCAAGATGGAGGAGAATTGCCTGTTCCAAACAAACGATCTGAAGCGGCAGATAAAGCCCTCGCTAGAGCTGATGACGCGCTATTGTTGCTACCAACGGAATTGGCCCTCTCGTGATTTATAGTAATGGGTAAAGCGAAAGGTGGCGTTGTCGAAAGAAGGTAAGATCCTGAAGTGTTTGCATTGGGTGGTGGTGTACGATATTGGAGATCTGATTGGTTGGAAAGACCAGCTAGTACAATAGCACCTTTATTTCCATATTGATGTTTTGGTGATGCGGCAAGTTCTGTATCATATTCAGGCAGTATATATTATTTCTATTTGATACGAATGCAAAGCTAACCAATAAAAAGGTATACAATATTCATGGTTCTATTTATCTAACGATACCCTTTAATTGGTTTAAGGAAAAAAAAAAAAATACTCTTAATGAGAAAAAAAATTATTCATACCATCTGCTAATTCATTGACTTCTACAGTCCGTTTCGATCCAACAAGAACATATTCTCTTTCAAATTCATAACCGGTTAATTCATCTCCATTTGACCGACCAGTTGAAGTTTCATTTTCATTACTTCGTTTCTGATTTGCTTCCAAATTCAAAGGTTTTTGCACTAATAAAGAAGATGATGGTGATGGATTATCATATGATGGTTGTAAATCTAAATTAACTTGAAGATGATTTTCATTATTTCTTGTTGTTTCTGTTGTTGTTGAATCTGGATATTTGGTGTTTCTTTAATGTTAAATTTTTTTTTTAAAAAAAAAAATTAAGATCATTAATATTTTACGATAAATAAATGCTACAAAATGAAAAGAAATTTTACCTAGAATTTTTTATTTGTAAAGGATTATTACAATCCAAATTTGTGTTGCCTTTCTGTGATATTTCACAGACTTTACGGGATGAATTAGATCTAGTGTGAATTTGTGGATTTTCCAATTGGTTACTATTAGAAGTTACTGGAACCGGAGATGATCTTGACCTATCCCTAACATGATTATTCTTGAGTTCATTTTCCTGGATGTTTGTCGTTACTGCTATAGTAACACCTTTCGAATCATGACTGGTTCTATTTTTTGAATGCACTGTTCTAGCAGAAGGTTTTGGTTGCATGGGTTCTAATCTCCCCGCAACACACACATGCATAAAGAATTCCTCGAATGAAATACGTTCGACAGGATTACGTTTCAACAATTGTCTTATTAAATCTTTAATATCTTCACTAATAACTCGATACGTTACACCACTGTTTTTATTGGTTGTAGATGTCTTTGTAGGATTTGATTGAAAATCTTCTGTCAAATCAATTGGTTCATTAGGAAATCTAACTTTATCACCTCTGATTTCAATTTTTCTTAATAACTCAACGTGATTTGCAGCCCTAAATGGAGGTTTACCAACACTCATTTCATACAAAACAGCACCAACGCTCCAAAGATCAGCTTTAGCATCATATTTTTCATAACGTAATATCTCTGGAGCCATATAAAGTGGAGAACCACACAATGTCTCTGCCATACTAGTAGATGGTAATATACGAGCAAAACCAAAGTCAGCAATTTTTAAAATTGGAAGATCAGGTGAACCGACGATGGATTCCTTTTGCTTATCGGCAGGTGGCGGCAGCAATAATAGATTCTGATATAATCGAGATAATAATAACATGAGGAACAGAAATCATATATATAAACAAAAAAAGTATTCATGCTATGAATGTATAAAATGGCACCTGAGGTTTGATATCACGATGTATTAGGTTTTGTGATCTTAAAAACTCCAACGCATTTGCTGAGAACAAATAAACGAGTAAAATTTAATGAAAATATATAAGAATCGAATTGACTGATAATAAGGTATATATAAATCCATGGAAAAAACATGAACACAATTCCTTAATGCCATAAAATGATGAATATTGAATACCTAGTTGTTTTAGGAAATGACGAACAACATATTCGTTCAAGCCACTCATGGTAGGTTTTGCACCTGGATCGACTGCGTTGATGCTATTTAAATTACCACGTCGTTTTATATAATGTGACAGATCACCCATAGAACAAAATTCCATAATTAAGTAAATATGAGAATCGGTTTTCTTTTTAAAAATAATTGAACTTTGTTAATAAACAAACGGAAAAGCAAACAGAGGAAGTAAACGAATAAAAGGGTTTATATGAGTTATAATATCTCAATTATGCTAACCTTACAATCAACTAATTGAACAATATGATCATGACGAATTCCTTTAAGAATTTGTATTTCGGATTCCAAATTTTCAAGTAATTTTCTGGTTAATTTAGATCGCAATACAGACTTTATGGCAATAGGTGCACGTGTTTTCTGAAAAGTAAAAGTTGTGTAAAGAGATTTAAATGATAAAACGTATAAGACTACTTAAGAACATTTTAGAACATTTGTAGTTACTTGAGTTACTTGTAAATAGAAGTTAACTACGTTTCTTTTTGTTTTATAAATTGTTGACGTTTAAACTACCTTAATATAGCCCTTATAAACGGTTGCAAAAGATCCCCGACCAATTTCAGCACCTACAGAGTAGCACTCGACACTTAAAGGCTCTGAAGATCTTGTGACAGAAGACATTCCGAGTATGTAATAAGATGAAGTAGCGCTAACAAGTAAATTTATTGTAAATTATATATAAATACAAGGTAAATAATATACAAAAAGAAGTTATTGGCAAATTATAACTGGTAAGAATTTTGACAAGGAAAAAAGAAACCGAGTTATTTTATAATTAGGACTCAGCAAGTTTTTGAAAGAGTGAAAGTGAATAATAAAGTAGTCACGAGGAGAAATGAATATTACTATACTCCGATTCTGTATAAAGATATTCCCACTGCGGATATCTTAACCAGAAACGTAAATGTATTTTTAGAATTTATCACTAAAATTATAAAGTAAGAAATCAACAAATAAGAACATATTTACGAATAATACGTACTTGATTTTTTTGATTAAGGAAACTTGTCATATTGATTTATGTCACTATTATTAATTTGAAAAAAACTTTATTTCTGATTGCGTATTAAATGACACCATTTAGTATTTGATTGCGCAATGTCATTCAACATATTTTTTGAATTTGAAATAATTAAAATCTTTTTGTAGTTGAAATTGTATTTATTTAACTTCTTTTCAGTACAAGAATCCAAAAAATATAAATATATATATATACAATAAAATAAAATTATCAAAAAAAAAATTTAATTACGTTACCTTTGTATGAACTAAAAAAAAAGAATAATCTATTAATAACTCGTGGTTATAATGCTAGAATATACAAACCTTACAAATTATTTAAATACATCTTCTAAAGATTTTTGATATTCATCTTGATTTCTTTTTTTTTTATGATTATCAGCATTTTCAAGTCCTTCTCTTTCAAGCTTTCTCTTCCTCGAACTTTTGTAGCAAAACAAATCTAACTTAGAATATTATATAATCAATGATGATGATAATTCTTGTTACTTACATCGCACTATTAGGATTTTTTTCGGGATTTTTACATTTATGCAACCTAGCATCAATTTCTTTCGCTTTATTAACAGGTGTGGGTTCATATTCTTTTATTGTCCTTTCAATTTCATCAAGTGTCTTATATAAATTATCTAGTCTATCTGGTTCTGAGTTAAATTTTGCACGTAAATAACTAAAAGAGTTTCTGATTAATAAATATATTTCCTAATTACAAGAGAATAAAATGTATATACAATCAATTCTTTACCTATTCAAATCAAGATTTATTTCTTTGGCAGCCATACGTGCTGTCGCCAATGCAATTTGTGATGGTTGATAAAGAAACATTGTGTCAGTGAAAAGAGATCTGTGAATAAATTCTTTAGATTTTTCGTATACGACTTGTATTTTTTTCGCATCTTTTAAAACCGTCTTTGTTAGATAAATAGCATTAATATTGGATAATAATTTATTTGCCATACAATTTCTTTTTGAAAATCTAATACGTACCTGCATATCCAGAAATAATCCGTACGCCCCAAGATACGGATGATGGACAGCAAATTCATATCTTAAACTTCGCGCAACTGTTAATTCTAAATCGAAAATAACCTCCTTGGTCACTCTAGGAAACAATTTAATGAAGTCCTCAATGGCTACAAATGAGAATTCGGTTTTTGCAGCGAGGAAAAGACAAGTTATACTATAAATTTTATTATTTATGAGTTAACTTGATGATTTGATTATATTTATACGTTTAGTAAATATGTACATGTTTCTTACATTATATCCCTAGGATGATAGTCCATGATGGTATTCCGCAAATAAAATCTCTTTACATATGTTATTGCACTTGCCTAATATATGATATTTAATAATAAATTACATGTTTATAGAATTGAACTCTAAATATAAGAATGTAGTTACCTTCACTTTATCTGTGAATTTATTTTTTCGAATTTCCTCGGGAAATTGGTTTGCCAAAGGACCGATTTGTGTTTGATAATAATTACACAATGCTAATTCATCTTCCATTTTTAAATATTCGATTTCGGACGGATTTATACGCGGAGAATTTACTCGTTCAGGTTGTTCTCCACGTGTAGGCGTTGATTTTGCAGAATTTTGTTTTTGCAATTCCTAAAAAAAGCTAAATAACTTTATTTTGAATGTAATTCTCATTACATACATTAAATACTTTCCACCTACAAATTCTTCCAACACCTTTTGTTTTACTCGTTTTACAGCTGACGTATGGTTTTTTTCACGAATTTCTTGTAGTTGTTCTTTTGAATAATACCAGTTACGATATTGTGAAGTTTCCGTAAAAAGTTCCTTCATGATAGATAAAAATATATGTTTTGTTCTAAAAAGTAGAAAAGTAGATGTTAGTAAATCAGATTGGAAAAAAAAAATTATCAGTTTAATTACAGGTATGAAATCACATGATCATCAGAATAAAAAGATCAAAAAAAAAAAATTTTTTATTTGCATCATATTTATTGCTTATACAATGACAGGGTCGCGAGATCTAACTGCTCAAATTGAGAGTCTGATAAACCGCCTAAGACGACGGTAAGGAATTTTATTACCTTTTCATACCTATAACCTAGTTTAAATATAAATTATGTAATAGACAAGTTGTCGGTTCTTGGTCCGTCTCACTTGAGACAGCCTTACTTTTCCGACAAGTGGTTTCGGTTACACGATGGAGTCAAGTCGGCACGCTGATTAAATTAGTGAAAGATGTTGGAAGGAGGTTGGTTATGGCTCAACCGAGAGGTATGCGTTATTTTAATAACTTGAGATAACTAAAAGTGGATAAATTTGAAGAATTTATAATACAATTTAGAACTTGCGGTAGGAAATATTGTTCGTCGTGTACTACGTTTGATACGTGATGTATATAATTCTGAAGTGTCCAGTAATAGCGTCAATTTAAATAAAGCATCTTCCACAGAAGAGGGAGAGGACGACGACGATGATGATGATAATGATAATGACAATAAGGTTAAATCTGTTCCTCAAAAAGGTGGCAGACTTTACGAATTACAAAGTTATGGTGGATCGAATTCCTTCATGGGTTCTAGTTTCTTTTCTTCATCAGCCTCTATGATCAATTTGCTGGGAGATGGATCTCCTTTGGGAGGAAGGCAAACTTCATTAGATTATGATAAAAAGTGTTTTAATATCCTTTTTTAAAAAATATATCTCTCTATCATTTATTATTATTATAGAAATTTTGAATTTTTTAACTCATTCATTTTCACATCTAAAGCCTTCAATAATCTCCGAATTACAAGAGATGATTAATGAACTTGAGAATATGTATGTCAATATTGCAGATCAAGCCATGGAACACATTCATTCGAAGTACGTGTTGTCGTAATCGTATCACTTATATATTCGTATATCAACCTAATTTTGAAAATAATTTTAGCGAAATTATAATGACAGTAGGAAAATCAAGAACAGTTGAAATGTTCTTGAAAGCCGCAGCAAAGAAAAGAAAATTCTCAGTCGTAGTTGCAGAAACGTCACCAACGTCAGTTATATTTATTTGAAATCCGTTTGAACGATAATAGGATTTTATTTGCAACGTGATTTCTATTTTAGATATCTTGGACATGAAATGGCTTTATCCCTGTCACAAGCAGGAATTGATACAACAGTGATTTCTGATTCAGCCATCTTTGCTGTCATGTCAAGAGTGAATAAAGTTATAATGGGAACTCATGCAGGTAGATATTATAAATCTAATTAAACGTATTATTATATTCAAGATGATAAAGTATATTGACTTTCTATGAAGTGCTTGCAAATGGTGGATTAATCTCTGTCAGCGGCGCTCAAATGGTTGCCACAGCGGCGAAACATCATTCCACTCCAGTTGTAGTTTGTACAGGATTATATAAATTATCTCCCCTTTATCCATATGACGAAGATTCGTTTAATGACATGGTTGCTCCTGATTCAGTGATGCGTTTCGATGAAGGAGATTTAATTGATAAAGTTACCCTCATAAATCCCTATTACGATTATGTTTCACCTGAGCTTGTTAGTTTATTCATCACAAATACGTAAGTTTTATGAAATATTCGTCATTTTATTATTTTAATGGATTTATGAATAACTTTTGATACAATTCAATTTATAGTGGTGGGCATCCTCCTTCATATTTGTATAGACTTATTGATGAAAATTATGATCCCGAAGATACTGATATATAATTATTAATAAGAATTTGTTGAGATTTTTTCCTCTTTTCTTTTATAGTCTCATAAATAAGTTGATACTCTAGAATTATTCGTAACATCTCCCAAATTGAAAATTCGGGCCAAAAGCAATTCTCAAAATGTATATAACAGTCTTGATGACATTGCCATAAGAGAAAATCACTTAATCGAATTTCACCTGATGTTCGAATAAGAATTTCTAAAGGAGGACATCCATGAGTAAATAAACATCGTTCTATTAAATTTTCATCAATATCTTCAATCTGAATCTGTTTATTGTCTACCATCTTTGCAATCTTCTTTACAGAATTTGTTATTTCATCTCTTGAAGTGTAAGGAGCGCATATATTTAATATGGATCTATTATTTAGGATCTTTGTTAATATATGAATCAATTTACCCCTTTTAAAGAGTAATTAACTTACCGATTATTATCTTTGGTCGTTTCGATGGCTTCTTCCATAACCTCTCTCAAATCTTGCGGAAGGTATGACATATTTCCCAATATTCTTATGCCAATTCCATGTTTCTTCACTATCTGACTGGAATATTATGCGATTTAAAATTTATATTATAACAAGGAAGTTATGATTCAAATCGAGAATTACCTATTCTGACACAATTGTTTTAATTTTTCCTTGGCCAGTTGCATGAGTGCATCTACTTCTTCTTTTGGTCGTTTAAAATTTTCTATACTAAATGCATATACAGTGACAACTTTTATTCCAAGTTGTAAACAAATATCTAACACCTAAATAATAATTATTTAATGCGATTTCATGATATCATGTTAATAAATTAAAAATGACTTACCTCTTCCATTTTAGCAAAACCCATATAATGTCCTTTTGTAGTTTGAACTTTAACCTTTCTTGCAAATCTTCTATTACCATCCATAATAAATCCAATGTGTTGAGGAATAGGTCCATGTTGTAGCGTTTTTATCAAGAATTCACGAAATTGTTTGGATAAATAGGAAATTGGAGAGGATAAAAATTTCGGTGAGGAGGAAGGTAATGTTATGGCAGGTATATTTTTGTCGGTAATTTTTGAATCTTGCGTAGACTCTTTTGAACTTTTTAAAGTGTACATAATTTGAGGAAAATTATAAGTGATATTCTTAACAGTTCAGTTCTTTAAATAGAATGCAAAAGGAAAAAAAAAAAAGAAAAAATTATGTATCAATTCGAATTGGCATAGTAAGAGGTTATGTTCATTTATTCAAGGTAAGCAGAAAGTTTAGGATTTCGGAATTCTAAAAATTATTGTCGTCTACGTAAATTATTTTGATTAAAAATCCGAAAATCGATTAAATCGATTGCTAGAATAGAAACGATTACGGTAATTGAACCGATCAACTAATCTGAATTAGTATGATATTCACATTATCGCAGTTGAATAGAAAGTCGACTCGTAAATTTTCCCTATTCTGATTCTTTTGTGTATTCAAAGATGTCAAAAATTGCATCTGAAAATATTAATCTTATAAATAATCATATTAATAGGTTCTACATATCATTGCCA